GAAATTCACATCTTCCATTAGCTAGACGATTAATGTGAGGCAGATCCAAACATCAAGTTCTTCACCATGTCCAGGGCTTAAATTCAGCTGGAGTCCAGTGGAGCAGTGCTCCGGTAAATATTTTCAAACCTGTGGGAGCCCCGGCGGCTCCTGTGGGATTGGAGTCCCGCGGGTCCATCCTACCGCAGAGCTAAAGCTCCAAGCTCCAGTAGCTGAAGCCCGGAGCCCCAAATGGGTGGGGAGCAGGTTCCAGGAAATAATCTCTCAGAATTTAAGCCCTGACCATGTCCATTTCATCTGTCTCGTTGATCATCTGTGACTCCTGCAGAACAAAGGAAAGTCGTCATTAGTTCCAAGACAGAAAAGCAAGTTCATTGAAAGCCTAATCAGTTCTACTAAATTGATGGCTTTTCTCCCTCAAGACAGATTTCAGGTGATTCTCCTGTTGTGCCCATCTCTCAAGTCTTGCCCCATTACCACAATTCAGGTATGTTTAAGTCTAGTAGGCCACATGACTTCATGTGCTTAAGTGACCCTGCTTGTCATGCTAAGCCTGCACATCTTTCAGGGATGGCTGAACGTAGTCTATCAACTGGCCATGGACAAGTTGTTCAAGGTTCTTTCTGTGGTCCCTAGAGTGGTGAATGGATCAGAAAAGTGAATGTGGAGGCGAACCATTTGCTTGCCCCCTTCCAGCCAAGAGGATGTTGCAGACATCTTTCTGATAGGGTGGGGTGTGCAGCCATGGGATTTGCAAATCCAAGCTTTGTGGATGGAGCAAGAAAGCAGTTCTTCATATCAGTGTTCTTGAGCTTTGAACTGTTCACAAAGTCTGCCAAGCTTTTGATCTTCACATCAGTGGCCCAGATACTCATTGACTATATATCTACAATGTACTGTTTGAACAGACAGAGGGAGCATAGTCCAATAAGCTCTGTTGGAAAGTGATTAAACTCTGGCACTTTTGCATTAAGGAAGGCATTGCCCCCATTACTGCTCACTTACCTGGCTCCTGAATCAATTGGCCAACCATCTCAGCAGGAGTTTCTCCTGGAATCATGAATGGTCCCTAAAGATCAGTGTGTTGAGGACCATATTCAAGGCCTAGGGTATTCCGTCAGTCAACACTTGTTTGCAACAAAAGACAACAAGAAATGTTGTCAGTTTTGTTCTCAAGCAGTTCACAGTTTAGGCTCAATGCCTGATGCCTTTCTGCCGAGATGGAGAGCGGCGCTCGTGTATTTTTACCCCTATTCTGCTCATCCCTCAGGTCAGGTCAGATTGAAACAAGATTGTGCCGAGATAATGCTCAGTGAACCAGCCTGGTCGAAATTGTGTTGCTTCTCAGATCTTCACAGACTCTTCAGCCCCTATGGCCTTTATCTCTTCTTCCAGACACAGACAGATGTGGCTCCGAGAGCTGAGCAGCCTGCACTTCATGGCATGGCTTTTGAGTGGGTAGATCAAGCGGAAAAAGACTGTTTCGTGGCAGTTCAGGAAATACTTATTAGTAGAAAGCAATCCACTAGGAAACATTTCTCAATCTGGTTCACTAGTCTGAAAATTTAGCCAGCAGGTGCTATAATCCAGGACATTTTAGACTGTCTGCTTCACCTTAAATCTTTGGGTCTTTTTCTGAGTTCGCTGAGAGTCCACTTAGCTCCATTCTCAGAAATCCTTCCTCCCATTCAAGGGAAGTCATTTTTTTCCAAACCCGATGGTGGTTAGATTTTTAAAAGGCATTTGTTTGCATTTTTCCTCTTGTAAAAGACACACTTTTGGACCTTAACATTCTACTAGTGGCCCTGATGGGTCTTCCCTTTGAGCGTTTGGCAACCTATTCTTTACTTCATCTCTGTCAAAAGATATCCTTTCTCATTGCAGTTATATCAGCCAAAAGAATAGGTGAGCTTCAGGCTGATGGCAGGTCCTCCATATACCCAATTTTTCAAAGATAAAGTAGCCTTGAGGTCCCATCATCAGTTTTTAATTAAGTAGTGTGGGCATTTCATTTGACCCAAATAATATGCCTGCCTGTTTTTTCCCCAAAGTTGTACTCAAATGAATATGAAGAGTGCCTTCATACTTTGGATGCAAGGCAAGCACTGGCCTTTTGTCTGGACAGCATTAAGCCCTTTAGTTTATCTCCTCAGCTCTTTGTCTCTTTTGCTGACAGAATGAAAGGTCAGATAATTTCAGCACAAACAATTTCCAAATGGATTATTTCTTGCATCACCCATCCACTGCAGAGACTGTTGGCCCATTCAACAAGGGCTCAAGCTACCTCAATAGCATTTTTGTGGGATTTTCCCATATTATTGGACATCTATAGGACATTGGTTCTCTGTGCATCTCTCCACTCACCATTGCACCATCACAACTTCAAGATCTGATGCAAACATTGGGAAAGTAATCCTACAGTCACTATTTAAGTAGATTTTGAGTTCCACCTCCTAACAATACTGCTTGTGAGTCACCTGAGTGGAATACACATGTGCAACCACTCGAAGAAGAAAAAATTATTACATCTTCAAAAGGCGGTTCACATGTGTATTCCATGACCTGTCCCCTCTACCTTGGTGTCTTGAGACATGTTTCACTTCAGAGGAACTGAGTGGGGTCAGAGCAACACCACCCTTGTATAGCCTTGGGAGGAGCCCCAAGAGTTCCAGGGAGCGTGCACCGCCCCATTGGGTACTGCTGCTAGAAAGATCTCTGATTCCAGCGTGCTGGGGGTACATACACCTGAGTGAAATACACATGTGAATCACATCTTGAAGAACAACAGTTACAGTGCAGGTAAGTAACCATTCTCCCCTCTCCACCCATTTGTGTATGTTCTGGTTAAATGTTGTCGCTGAAAGTTTTCATGGAAGAAGTGTGGTTTAAATGAGGTACTGGAAGGAAGTCCTGAGCATCAGGGAGTCATGGAAGAATGAGCAAGGGCAAGTGAGAAAAGAAAACAAAACCACCATTTGGAAGGGAGATTAGGGAAATGCTTAGATAACAGGAGTTGGGAGTAGTGGGAAATGAATATGGAGGTCTAGGCAGAGGAGTGTACAGCCTTACAGTTGAAGATAGAATGTTTGAACATGATGTGGAAGGAGATGGGTAAGCCAGTGAAGGAATATGAGGAAGAGTGGCTTAGAGCAACATGCAAGCAGGATGGTTTTTACAAATAGCATTTTGTATAGCCTAGAAGAGGATGAAATGACATGGCAAGAGGCCAGAATTGAAGACATTGATCTTGACATGGGTAGGAATTTTAATTTGAAGATGAAGAGGGAAGGGAACTTTTAGTGAAGCCTTAAGGATGAAGGCTTTGGCATTAGCCTGGCTACGTATTGGCAAAGGAGGAGACAAATCATATGACACTGAGGTTGTGAGCCGGGTAAAAGGATGGTGTTGTCTGTCAGTTTATGGAAAAACCCAGAGAGAGAAGATGAGATATTCAAAATTCTGTTTTTGTTATGGTTAGTTTGAGATGATGTGAAGGAGCCATACAGAGATGCAAGACGCAAACAACAAACAAAAAGGTTAGAGGTATCAAGAGAAATTTGAGGTTTGTCATCTTAAAGAGTATAACTAAAACTGTGGAAATGGATCAAGTCACCTAATGCAAAAGTATAGAGGGAGAAAAAGATAGGGCGTATGGACGAAGATAGAACCCTGAAGGACTCTGATGGAACAGGAAAAGGTGGAAGCAAAATGCATGATTCATGAGCTAGGAAGAGAACTAGGAGAGTGCAGAATTGTAAAAATCCAGGGAGGAGAGCAAGTGGAAGATGATGGGAGTAGTCAGCTGAGGTGAAAGTGGTTGATACCTTGAGGAGGACAACTCTGGCGATGATGCTCTTAAGCTGGAGAAGCAGGAAGTTGTTAGTAACATGAGGTAGAGCAGTTTCATTGGCATGAAGAGGTGGAAGCTGAATTACAGGGTATACAGAAGAGAGTTATAGCAGAGAAAGTCAAGACAATTGATGGACATCATCAAGGACTTTAGAGCCAAAGGGAGATGGGCAGTAGAAAGATAAGTGGGTCAAAGGGATTTTAGAATAAGGTATGTTACAGCATACTCAAAGGCTGAAGGAAAAAAATCAAAGTGGTGGAGAGAAAGGTTTAGGACTGGTTTCATTAGTCATGGGAAAAGTGGATATGTAAGATCAGTAGGTCACCTAGATGTTGTTTAGTGGGAACAGAGAGTTGCCCTCTGCATGCTCTTGGGGCGGGGAGAGGGAGAAACAGTTTTTCAAAATTCTGGTATATGCAATTTGCCTGGACACCTGTGGACACATACAGGAACTTTCCCCAGTGATCTACTAAAGTCTGTATCACCAATCAGCATTAATCCTTCCTGTCAGTATACTCATGGGCTTATTAAGACAGAGGGGTGGAGCAAATTGGGCACATTGGGTTTCAGTTGTTTAAATGCTTCTATGATCTAATAGCTTGTCCATCATAGAGTATGCATTGACATGCAAACCTCCATGACAGGACTTTGGACTTTCCATCACCGCCCAACAGATAACTATTTGATGATGGTTTGTAATGGGAACTACCACTCTTGCATTGTGAACAGAGCCCTCATCCTGGTAAGGTGACACTACAATGACAGCACTAGCCCACTGTAAGTGTACAGAAAAATCATCCAGGTGTGGGTCTATTTTTGTAGGCACACCCATGAGTTTAACTTTTTATATTAAAGTATGTGGCAGCTGGTGGGTTCCTCTTTTTTGTGGAGACAAGAGGATATTATTTCAGGAAGTATGTAAGTTAAAATGTAACTTTTAAGGTAAGTAAAAATCTGGGGCCTGGTGAGTTGATAGTGTCTCGTTAAAAGACCTTGACCTTTTGTGAGGGTATGTTTACAAAGTACAAGAAAGAGAAGAAACTCACATATTTCAAAATTTGACATAAGAAAGAGTTCACTAAAGCATTACTCATAGCTTACTGTTTAAGGGAATAATTTAGAATTCTGTTTTTTTATCACTTTTCTTTAGGTAACATTTCAGTAATTGCATTACCAGTTTCCAGCACCAATTCCCCAGCTAAGATTTTGCCAAAAACCTTAGGACCAGTAAACGTGAATGTTGGACCCCAAATGGTAAGTACTCTAACTCTGGGCAACATTATATTGTGTAACTATATGGATGACTTTCTATTTACTTAACATAAAAAGGTTAAAAGTGAAAGTACAAACTACCACTGCAGCTACTCCTCCAGCTATAAATGCCGTTGAATAGCCATAAGTGCTCCCCCTTGTATCCACAGGTAATGAAGTAGGAACAGTGTTCTTGGCACTCTACCATAACACCACTCCCAAGAGAGATTCTGTATGGGCATACCTACATGTTCTAGAGTGAATGGAGGCTCCTTGTGCAAAAATATGCAGCTACACCTATTACATGACATTTATCCTTTAATCAAAATTGTATTGAAAAAAACATTTCCCCCCTCCAGAATGTTGCCGCTGCTGTTGAATATTTTTATGTGCAACATTCCCTCCACACAAGAGGAGAGTGTGTGCCTGGAATTCTGTTATTTGCCTAGAGTTTCAACTTATTGTTATGTCTGTAACAGTGCTAAAAATGGTCTGTTATTGTCTATACTAGCTAAGCAGTGTACAGCACTGGTTCAGGAGGATCCATTTTGAGAACTATTTTCAGCAACAGATCAATTTCCTAATGGATAGGACAGTAGTAGTCTTGCATGCATAAACTAGACGTAGTAGTAAGCTATTGCTTGGAATACATGATATACAACAGCCATCCAAGGCGTTTTACAAGAATTTGTTGTAATGGTTTCTAGTTTGCAAAACCCATAGTCTCCAGTGGTTTCTGCCAAGTTGGACAGGAAACCACAAGCACTATAGCTGGTCCTCCCAACTTTATTTTCCAGTGTACAGCGCCTTGAATTTGGTATTCGCTAAAAGCCTTGCTCCTAGAGTAGTATTGAGCATTTTGGAATTGGTGTTTCAGGAGTTCCTAAAATGAACTTTGTAAGCCATGCACTATATTGATGCGCTAGAATGTTTTTACCAAAAACAGTGTTACTATGTGGATGCCATAAGTGATTACAAAGAACAAGAGTGAGAGAGAACCACAAAGTTCATACAATCACTGCCCTGCAAACATACTCCCAGTGTGTGCATATGATTTTTTTTTGTTTTTGCTTTTGGCAAAAATGGAACCTGTAATTCACAACTATTGGCCATTGGTTTAGTTCCATCAGTGATAGCAATAGTGAAAGCTGTAACATAGAAATAAATTGGGCATTTTTACCACCCTGTCAACTCACTCATCTGAGCACACACATTCTCTCCAGGCTTAATCAACACAGTGGTGAAAACTCCTGACCTGCCTGAATCCTGTCATGCTAAAGCTTTCTCTGTTGCTACCACAAGTGCTGAATTATGATTTCTGTTGTTGACAGTTCAAATACAGCACCTGCCATGGGTGGGTGACTTTTAGCCCCTTAAAAAAACGTGTAAGTGTGTGGGGGGGAGAAGAGGGGATATAAGGGGCTGGAAATTACATCAGCCTCTAAGTGTAAATTCTGATAAATGTTTGGTGTGGGTTTACTTATCAGGAGCAACCCATTTCTGCAGAGTAAGGTAAACTGAACAATTGAGTACTCTTAAGGGATGCTGTCAAGTTAAAAAACATACTTCTGTTTGAATTATTTTATCTACTATTAGAATGAACACCTGAGATTACTATAGCGTGAAAGATATTGGACAGAAAATGACTGTTCGTTTTTTTGACAGTTTTAGACTTCACTGGGGCTATTCATATGAATAAAGTTAAACACACAAGGCCTAAGCCTGCAAACTTACCTACTTTATCAATATGAGAGTTCTTTGTGTAGAGATAATTTAAATATAAATCTTTACTATAGGCAGCTCTTCTTTTTTGTTGTGAGGTTTTTTCTCACAGTAACAGGATAGAGAAACTTAAAAGAAGAAGAAGATGGGAAAACATGATTGCATAATGACAACATTTGACAGGGGAATCCAGCGGCAGGTTTAGGAGTAATTTCAGACTCTAAACTCCTCTTAAAAAGGACCAGATTTAAGTTGAGTGTAGGAGGGTTCTCTTGAAATACTCCCCATCTATTTTGGCAGATGCGGACTGCCCAGTGATCCAGTTTTGGGTAGCTAAGGTCTTCTATGAATCTAAATGTCCAGTTAACGGTCAAATGTAAGTCAACCTATGGACACACTCCTACTAAATTTTATATGACATTTTTCTTCACTGACCTCTTGTTTTAGAATAAAAGAAACTATTAGTTTAGCATCAATTACACTTGATCTGTGGGGGGTTTAATTTGACACTAGGTAGGATCTGTGTTTATCTCCTCCTCTTACTGCTTTTAGGAAGAAGAGCATGCACCCAATCATACAGAGCACACATTCATGACATCAGCAGTAAATTTAGTGGGCCAGAGCCAGGACAAGCTGTTGGAGATAGAAAACTGGCTGCTGCTTCTGCTTCCACCGTAATCAGTCTCAGGGCTTGTCTACATTTGAAACGCAAAAGGGTTCCCCTCCTCCCCCCAAGTCTCTTTCTTTAAAGACCCACAAAGGGAATAGTGGGCATAACCTTATTATTTTGTCAACCGATTAGGCCTACTTTCTGCCACAGCAATTTTGATTCACTGGGTTCTGGTTCCACACTTTTCTTGTTTACCAAGCATGGTCCTTGAGTTATATCAATAGGCCTTTGTGTTTGGACTAATTCAGTCTTTCTATTTCTCTTTCATACCTTTTCCCATCAACATTTGTTACTTTAGGTTATTGTGACATCTTATGAACCTTCATGTATTTTTTACAGTTGAGCCTTACATTTAGAGTAAATTTGTGTTGTTATCACAACACCCATGACTATGCTGTTTGAGCGTATTCCAACACCTCAGCAACATGACTAACATCTTAACACGTAATATGTAGTTCTTTACTCTCCCCCTCCCCTCTGGGGAAAACTGCATGTAAATTTTTTAAAACTTACATTTAAAAAATTAATATATGCTATGTATTTTTACTAGCAAAGGCCAGATTGAAGTAAATGCACCAGCTTTGAATGGAAGTTGGTGTTATTTGTGGTGGTTCTTAAATCCTGTGGGAATTCATAGACTCATAGGGTTAGAAGGGAGTGCAAGGGTCATCTAGTGTAACCCCCAACATTCCATCTTGGACAGGCCCCTAAGAAAGCTGTGCCTCTTGCATAAATGAGTTTTACTTTTGCAGTATACAGCTCTATTGTGTCCAAGAAGTGGAGTTGTTAACTACAGTTCTTGTCCAAGAGCGTTAGGCAATCTCTGAAGGTATCCAGGCCCCAGAACAGTAAGCACCTTTAACGTAAGGGCCAAGACCTTGAATTTGATGTAATATTCTGTGCAGTGCCAATATATTGAATGGAAGCTTGTAAAATGTGCTTGTGAAAGCCTATGTTACTGTGGAGACATGCTACTGGTATTGTATTAATTGGAGTTTCCTGAGGGTTGGTGGTTTCATGTCTCACTATATTGCATTGCTGTACTCCAGATGGGACATGACAAAGATGTATATTACTGGTTTCAGAGTAGCAGCCGTGTTAGTCTGTATCCGCAAAAAGAAGAACAGGAGTACTTGTGGCACCTTAGAGACTAACAAATTTATTAAAGCATAAGCTTTCGTGGACTACAGCTGTAGTCCACGAAAGCTTATGCT